GTGGGTCAGGTACACCTGAGTCATCAAATGACATCTTTGTTTTCCCAGGTCTGAAGCGAGCTTGTCCTGAAGATTTGCCTGATGCAATACGTCCTTTGAGCTAGCAAGGACGGGGTCAGGTGCTAGTCACAGCACCTCTGTGTAGAACAGAATAAAATGCTGCCGGTGCTGTGCCACCCTCCGCCGTCACTGTGATGTTGGAGCTCACCGTTGTGGCCACTGTGTCCATCCGCCGCATTGAAGGTCTTCTCCTCTCTCCACGATCGTCTACCAAGTGTGATGTCCTTCTCCAGAGGCTGGTCTCTCCTAATGCTATGTCCAAAGAGGTAAGGTGAAGGCTCACCATCCTTGCTTTGAAGACTGTACTTCTTCCACGACAGATCCGTTTGTTCTTCTGGCCGTCCATGATCGATTCCGTGTTCGTCGTCGCCAACACCATAATTCAAGGGCATCCATTCCCCTGTGGCCTTTCTTGTTCATTCTCTAGCCTTTGCAAAGGTGACAGCCTAGAAAACACGGTGCGGCAGTTTTGCTCTGTCACACGGGGTCCCTATAAGGCTGAATCAACTGAAGGGCACACGGCAACAACTGGTTTACCATAATCCAACCTTCACTTCCCTCTTACAGAAACGGTCCCGGAAAGCTTCGTGTGCTTCAGGGGGCTGACCTGGAACAGGCCACTGAAGGGGAGGTAGGAATGTATCAGTCAAGGGGGGTGTGGTTGAAAATTCCAGAAACAACAACTTGTCTACCAGAGTCTGGAGGCTGAAAGGCTCCGGCTTGTCCCAGCCACTGTTGACCCATCAGAATGCACTGCTGGTTGATACGGACGTTCCTGGCTCCCTCCCAGATCCTCCAAAGTGGACACCACATGGCAGGGGCCAAGAATCTGATTTTTGACCCAGTGCCTCTGGTCATGCTCATGACTTGCAGGCTTAGGAAACACTGGGCTAACATTACAGGCCTCCAGGGAACTATCAGAACCGGTCCAGCAAAGCTGGATGGAGCCAAGGGAACTGGGTCTTGAATCCCATGAGGAATTTGAACTTTATCACATAGGCCTATTGCTTTTTTTCTTTGTGGGGGTGTGGGAGTGGGGAAGAGGTTACAAATTCTTTTAGAAAATTGAGGAAAGGTAGAAACCCTTTACTGAAAAGGCTCCTCAGCCCCTCCCCATAGTTGAATCCACTGTGGACCCCAGTAAGTACCTCATAGGCAGTTAAGTAAGGGAGAGAGAGACTTGATCAGAGCCAAGGGCACTTGACCAGATAGCGTCCAGTTGGGAAAGGTGTCTGGGGCCCATGGCAGGAAGGCCAGCTACCAAGGCCCCGGAAGTCAGCGGGATGGGCCGCGGAAGCCCACAGAGTTGCTGGGAAGGGAAGGGGAGGGAAGGGAAGGGAGAAGAGCTGAGCCAGAAAGGAGGACAGGTCACGGTGATGACGCACTAGCTAAGAGTCTGACGGGACAGAATTCCAAGATGGGACTTCCAGCTTGGAGAGTGGTGGGAGAGGACTCGGGTAGGGTGGGGCGGGAGTGCAGGAACAGTAACTTCGATTCTTGGACAACGTGTCTGGTTTACAAACATGAGCAAAGGCTGTGAGCATTCGGATAGAAGGCCCTGGAAAGAGATGGGAAATTGATGGGCTTAAATTTAACTTCCACATACACTGGATTTTCATTTAGTAGAGGGCCCAGGTTGGAAAGGGCGGACTCTGAGTGTGGGTGACACCCAGGACCCTGCGGCCATGGCTTCCTTCTGAGAGAGACACTGGAAAGTCAGGACAGAAGGCAGAACCTCCTAGGGTCAGGTGTCAGAGGGCCCAGGAAAGGTGACCTTTGAGGGTCAGGTGTCAGAGGGCCCAGGAAAGGCAATAGATAGTCGAGGAAAGAATGACCAAAGGCAGACAGTCAACCAATAGGAGTCCTGGCCACCGCCACTGGGTCGGGCTGCTCAGAGGCCACTAGGGAACCTGAAAAGAGCCGTTCTCTTCAGGCCCCTGGGCTTTGCTTATGTAAGTGAATGTCCTGTCCTTAGGGAAAATGCGCCCAAGCCTTTGTGGACAACAGGATGTGACATCTGCAGTTTACTTGCCGTTCTGAAAACAAGTACATTCTGAACTGAGGGGTGGCACAAAGGTGACAAGACCGGGGCCAAGGGCCTGGCAGGGGGCTTTGTCCATGCCTGCCATTTTCCCTTAAGCTGGAAATCTTAGCAACATGAAGAGTCCCCTCATTCTGGTGACAAGAAAGGGAGAGGAGGAGGAGGAGGAGGAGGAGGAGGGGGAGGGGGAGAGGAGGAGGACAGAGTGGTGATTTGAGGGGTGGGATGTTTTCCCCAAGATGGTGGACAGAGAAGCTAGTAGGAGCGTGAGCATGTTTGCTGCTGAAAGCGTTCCTCCAGACAGGGTGGAGGTGGCAAGGGGGGTGGGGGCGTGGAGCAGGAGGCACAGGGGTGTGGGGAGATGAGGTCTGGGATGGAAGAGCCCCATCAGGTGGAGAAACCCTACATCTGTCTGCAGGGTGGCGAACAGGGGTCCACTGAAGAGGAATGGCCCTCTCTTCTGAGCCAGGAGGCACTTCTACTCGTAGGGGAGGGGAGGGGACCGTAAGGTTCCTCCTGGGTCGGGGGCGGGGGACTCTGGGTAGCACAAAGCAGGAACAGTTTGGCGACTACCCACATGTTAGTGGTGTGAATCCGTCAGAGGTACCTAAGAAGAAAGGCCTGGTGATCCGCTTTTGAAAGGTCACAGCCAAGAAAAGGCAGTGGAGCACAGTTTTGCACCCACGGGGGTGGGGTGGGGGTGGGCGAGGGGTGTTGTCACCCTGAATCAGAAGCCACTGGAAGCCACCTGCTTCGGTTTCTGGCTTTCTGCGTACAGTTGGGAATGGTGCCCCGGTGTGACCGTCCTTCCCACCAGCACTGACAGGGACGGAGCCAGACCTGGGTTCGATGCTTGAAACACAATGTGGGGGGCGGGGGGGGCTCCTGCCCGGGGGCCCCCACCCGCCTGGCCCCACCGCCTCTGGCGAGCAGCCACGAAAGGCAATCACCCTTTTAAGGCTCCGGCGGCAGGCAGTGGGTCAGCACGGCGCTGCCCACATGCTGGGTGCTGGGTGCCCGCCGCCTCCCCTGAGGCAGGGTGCCCGGTGCCCAGGGTGCAGGAAGTGGGCGCGCAGCCCCCAGCCGTTGCCCTGAGCCGGGCGTCCTCCAACTCCGATCTTTCGATCTTGTAGAGCTTTCCAAGGGAGCGCTTAGGCGGCGGCACCTTCTGGTCGCCTTGAAGGGTTATTTATGAATGACCCCTGTGTATTTTGTCACAGTTCCTGTGGCGAGCCTCACCTCCCAGGACCCTCTGCCCCCTGAGAGGGTCCCTGGGGGGCCTTGAAGCCCACTGAGCAGCTTTCAGGTGCTGGGCTCAGCCTGTTGGTAAGGGCACAACCGGGCTGCAAAATGAGAGATTGTGTGACCCATACACAGCGCTTTCGTTTCAGCAGCCTCCCTCCCCCTGACCCACCCCCTGACTCCTGGTGTGACCTCAGAGACCCAAGACAGGCAGGTGAGTTGCAGGGGGCAAGTGGGTGGGCGAGACAGTGGGCACAAACAGCAAAAGAAGGGGCACCAAAGGACTCTGTCATGTAACAAGCACTTTCATGCGCTATTGGTAAAATGCAAGCAATTTGTGATGAGCACACCCCCAATATTGTAAATAGTAACAGCGCAGGCAGACACGGAGGGTCACGTTGGCAGGGAGCAGATGGGGTACCACGCTGCACTCTCTCCCCAACCCACCGGGAGGACTCGCCAGGGACCAGGACTGGGCACTGTTGCCTTGTCCTTTGGTGGGCATGAGGGGGACATCTGGGCCTGCTAACAGGACTGGATCTGAGGCTGTACCCAACCCCCCCCCCCAGCCCCCAACCTTTGAGGCAGAACCAGGAAGAAATGATGTTCGCGTGCACAAACACGTTCACACAAAACAGGGCCCAGCCCCCAGGAGTCACCCACCCCCAGGGCTGTCCCTCGGAAAGGGGACTCATCTCTGCCACCCTTCCTTCCCCTGAACCTCTGCTCTCTGTGGCCTCTACAGAACCGCTCACTGACAGTCCTTTTTCCAGGAAGACCCTTGGATTTATAAAAGTGGAATTTTGCAACCCTGCTGTCCAACTTCCCTCAGCCCCTCTCCCCCACTGAGGTCCGGCTTTGGAGGAAATGGACGGTTTCAGTTTTCATTCTCCCTCCAGGGCAGACACACACGTACACGCATGCACACATGCACGTACTCCTGCCTGGCCACTACAGGACACAATGTGAAGAGCGAGCCCCACGTGAGGGAGGTAGCCTGCAGCACGGAGAGGTCTCAACAGGTGACTCACTGCCCTCTCCTCCCCTCCAGCCTTGGATGGGATGTGCTCTCTGCCCAAGGGGAGCCCTGGAGACCTCTGGAAATGGGAGCCCATCTAGTTGGCTCCAACCCACGGGGACCTTTCAGTCCACGAGGGTGGATTGCTGTCCCTATCAGAGGCTCGCTGGAGTCCACTGGCCTGATGACAGGGCCAGTCACTGAGGGCCTCATGGCCCTCCTTCACCGAACCGGATGTCCGTCTCTGGCAATGCAATCTCCTGATGATGGGTCCAAAGAAAACACAGTACCAGTGTTCTGGGGTGATCCATGAGGGTATCATCGGCTAATTATCCGAAGCAGATTCCCCGGGCCTTTCCTCCTCGTCCGTCCCAGATGACGCCTGTCCACCCGGGCTGGGTGAGCCTGCTGGCATTTGAAGTATCAGAGGCATATCTTCCTTCCAGCATCACAGCAACACCCAAGCCACCGCAGGATGACAGACTGACAGAAGGACGACGGGAATGGATGCAAGGTGTGGCCTAAAGAAACAGCAGCCTCAGGCTGTCCCCTCCCATGCATGCATTCCCAGGGGTCATCCCAAGGGCCTATGGACGCATAGTCCTGAGAAATACTTCAGCAAAAAACAAAACAAACAAACAAAACCCCCACACACCTAGATTTTCACTTTGATATTCATGTACTTTCGCCATGTAACTAGCTTGCCTTGGGGACTCTCAGCAGCCAGCCCCTGCCAGCCACCGAATAAACCCCATCCTAGTTCTTGGTTCTTTTTACATCTGTCTAGAGCCGCTCGGGGTGTCTCTGGTGGTGACCTGGGTAACGCTGCTGACTGGGGGGCTGGAGGGTTGAGTTCTCGGAAGAAAAGCCAGCCGTGGAAAGCCCTCTGGACCACAGTTGTACC